AAAAAAAAAAAAAAAAAAAAAAAAAAAAAAAAAAAATCAAAACTGAAAAGGGCAGGGGTTATAGCTCAGTGCTCCCCATAGTTCAATCTCTAGTATCACCAAAACAATTGTCTCCTAAAGCTATTTTTAAATATGCAAAAAAATTATTAAGTATAGTCACCCTACTACGCTGTAGTACACTAGAAATTGTTTCTCCTAGGCAGGCGTGGTGGTGCATGCCTGTAATCCTACACAGTGAGTACAAGAACAGCTTGAACTACATAATGAGAAGCTGTTCCAAAAGAAAAAGAAATTATTCTTCCTATATCACTGTGATTTTATACCTGTTAACCAAACTTTCTTATCCCTCTTTCCCCTTACCCATCTAGCTGCTTTTTGGTTAATTTTTTTCACCATAACTTTCATACCTCTTAGGTAAGTTCCCCTTATAGGAGCCTAGAAGCCTCTGTGGTACAGTAGCAGTTTTTTTGGTTTGTCCTGCTGTACTGGGAATTGAATCATGGTCTTTGCACAGAGCTACATTTCCAGCCCTTTTTTGGAGGGTTGGAGACAGAGTCTTGCTATGTTGTCAAGACTGGTGTTGAACTCACTATATAGCTCAGGGTGGCCTCAAACTAGCAGTGATCACCCTGCCTCAGCCTCCCAAGTGTTGGGATTACAGGTGCGCATCTTTATAATGAGCCCTTTTTAAATTTTTTACTTCAAAACTATATCTCACGAAGTCACTGCGTTGCCCAGGCTAAATTCAAACTTTCAGTCCTATCTGCCACCTCCCAAAGTGCTGCACTACAGGCATATGCCACCACGCCACCATGCCATGCCAAAATGTGTTTAATGAAGCAAGAATATGCTTATCTCATTTAATTTGAACATTGCCTATTTAATCAAACATATTTAAACAAAAAAATTCATATGGTGGCACATACCTTGGGAGCCTGAGGCAGGAGGATCTCCATGAATTTGAAGCCAGCCTAGGCTACATTGAGAGTTGAAGTCAAGCCTGAACTGCAGAGCAAGACCTGCCTCAAAAACAAGCAAACAAACAAAAAGAAATGATAGCCATAATCTGGGCTTTTAAAGAATCATTTATGTTTCTTTCATGTAGATTTTTCAGCACAAAGACTTTTTTACAGAAATCAGTGTCAGGTGTGGTGGGGCACAGCTGTAAATCCCAGCACTCGGCGAGGAGAATCACGTGCCCAGACAGAGTAGTGACTAGGCAAGACCCTGTCTCCAAATAAACATTTTTTTTTTAAAGCCTGGGAAAGTAGCTCAGTGTGAAGGTGGTAGGTTCAATCCCCGCTACTACCACAACAACGACAAAAGTATCAATGATTAGATGCTTTATAATATGTTAAATTTGTTGGGATGATAAGTGATGCTTTTTTCTGTTATTCTGTTTACCTTATTTAAATTCTTTTTCCTAAGATGGCAGCAGAGATAAAATTGATGTTATTCACATTATGATTGGAATAATAGCTGGTGGAGCACTTTTGGTTATTTTTGGGCTGTGTTTTTATTATGTGTGCATAACAAGGCGTAAGAGACAACCACACGCAGGGTAAGTACCAAGTAAAAATACTTCATTCGTCATCGGACAATCTATATTGTCATTTTTAAATAAATCAAATGTCTATTTTTAAATGGACTTTTTATTTTAGAACAATTTTAGACCTATGGGAAGGTTTCAGAGGTATTACAGGAAGTTCTTCTGTACCCTTTAACCAGTCCCCCCCTCCGTTGCTGTCTTGCCTTGTCATAGCGGATGTGTCAAAACTAAGAAACCAGCGTTGGCACATTTCCATTAACTGGACTCCAGACTTCATTTCAGTATGACCAGATTTCCCATTAGTGTCCTTGTTCTGATCTAAGACCTAGCTGATTTACCCCATTGCACCTGGCTATGTCTTCTCTGGCCCCTCTGGTCTGCCAGTTGTCCGTGGGTTAATTTAACACACATATTAACAACTGAATGGTGCTATTTCTGAGGTCCTTCAGAAGAATACAGGTATCAGCTTCATTTTTTAACATTTTCTTCTAAGCAAGAGACAAACTTCAGTGTCCCCATATTACCAGTATTTCCAAGAAGCAAAATTAATTTTAATAGTATTGAGGATTCAGCCCAGGATGAGCTACAGTCCTTTTTTTAAACTTTTAGTTTGTTGTAGGAGCTTGCTAAGTTTCCCAGGCTAGGCCTGAACTTGTAATTCTCCAGCCTCAGCCCTCAAGTAGCTGGATTACAGATGTGTGCCAACACTTGGTAAAAATATTATTTTTCCTATGAAGAGGAAGATTCTTTGTCTTCTAAATTAAAGATAACTTTCAAACCATATCAAGACAAATCTAAATAGAAAACCACCAGCTTGAACTTTGCAACAAATATCAGTGTCATAAAAGATGAAGAAAAACTGAAAAACTAAAGTAGCTGATGTGACAATTAAAGCTGGGTATAATATTTCACTGGATCCCACACCAGAAGAACAAATCGGTATGAAGAAAACTTGGGGGGCAAATTTGAAAATGGACTAATCTCAGATAATAGTATTAAATCAGTATTGAATTTCCAAAATTTGAAAACTGTGTGCACATCTTTTTAAAAACATGTAATCATATAATGGTTCCAAAATTTAATTGGCTACAAAAACAAAAACAAAACTAGTGAAAACCAGCTAGCATCAGAAGTTGTATTTAGGGGTTGGGAGTGGGGTTGTGGTAGAACACTTACTTGGCATGTACAAAAAATAAAAACAAAACAAAATTTTCAAGACTAGGGTTGGAACCTAGGACCTTGCACATGCTAGACAAGTACTCTGTTGCTGAGTTATACACCCAATTCTAACTGATTAAATTTTTAGGGTTTCATTCACTTTAAAAAAGGATTGTACAGCTATTCAAATCTAAATGCGATGTAAATATAAACAAATGGGAAACCAGAAGAGCTTAATTACAGGGGTTCAAATTAACTGGGGTAAGGCTGTTCTTAATTGTTTGATTACAGATATAAGTGAAAAATAGAATAACTTGTAGAGGAAGCACACTCAACTGGAAATTAAGAGGCAACAATCTCATGTTAATTCTGCCACTATTTAACTATAATTTCGTTTTTAGAGACAGGCTCTCACTATGTAGTTGAACTCACTATGGAGTCCAGGCTGGCTTTGAATTAACAGTGATCCTCCTGCCTCTGCCTCCCAAGTGTCAGGATTATAGGCATGTACCACCACGCCCAGCCTACCATAGGTCTTTTTTCTATTAATGTTATTGGGGATTGAATTTAGGCCTTTGTACTGAGCTTTTACTGAGGCAGGGTCTCCCTAAATCACTAAAGTTGCCCATGCTGGGCTCAAATTTGTGATTATTGTGCCTCAGCCTTCCAAAGTGCTAGGATTATAGGTGTGTACTGACTCTTAATTTAAACTATGGATCTTTAAGTAAATTTCTTGATTTTTTTTAGCTTTCTTCATCTATAAGATGAAGGGGGTGGCTCTGATTATTCTTAAAGTTAGTTCCATCATATCTTTTTCTTTTACCAAGGACAAGAATAAAGTGCATTTCCTTCATCATTAGTTTTTCAGAATTAATTTTTTAGTTATTTATTCCAAAAACCCTTTTTTTTTTTTGGTGGGTGGAGTTTGTTGTTTGAGTCAGTTCTCATTATGTAGTCCAGACTGGCTTTGAGCTCACTCTGTGGCCCAGACTGGCCTTGAACTCATGGCAATCTTCAGTCTCTATGGTGTGTGTGTGTGTGTGTGTGTGTGTGTGTGTGTA